GTTGCACCGAAAATAGGAAGAGTCTTTCGGGAAAGCCGATGATTAATAATCGACACAAATTATGCTTATGTAAAATAATGGTTGTTTTCGTGAATTTTCTAAGGGCGAAATGAGATTTCAATGACATCCTGATTTCGAGAGTCTCGTTCGTCAAAGTGTACTTATTTATTCAACACGGTGTCACAGATCCAATGGTTCCATTAATGTATCCATATTACCGCTTAATTGCTGTTAATTATCAAACGCGTCGGGGGGGGGGGTTCGGGATTAAGTGGAAAATGACTCGAGGGAACAGTCAGCGAAGCCGAGTGAAAAATTCTTGGAGCAGTCGTCAAACGCGGCCGTAATTAACAACGGTCATAACTGTCTGACATTACGGGGTTTAAAACTCGCCAGAGACCACGAGGCGGAGTTTCGCGAGGAGGGCCCGTCATTACAGCTTCCGTTTCCGGAGTGGAGATCAAACGACCCCTAGAGCCGGAGAGAAACGCGGAAATTCAGCCCTCGGCCACCCCGTCTCCCAAGAAAGAGAACCTCGAGGTCTTAATTCCCGAGGTGGATCTGCCTACCGAGAACGGATCTCGACGCGCAGATCCCATGGTCCAAGGAAATTGCTTTACCAAACTAGGCACCGAAATTCCCCGGAATGACTCAGACCTCTAATCAATGTCGGGTGCAATTAATATCGCTGGTGGCGGTCTTATATCACAGCTTTTAAAACCCCAGAATCCGTGAAAAGGGGTTCCGCAAAGAGCGGTCATCACCGCATCCTTCGTTCCCAGAGGCCGGGATCAAACGAACATCAGAGTTGGAGGAAGCCGCGATATTCGGTCCTCGGCCACGTCAGCATCCAAGAGGAAGAACCCAACGGTTAAAGATCCAACGATCTTAAATCTCGCAGGTCCGATCAGCTAGGAAGGAGAATCTGCGCGCACTTTCCCCGTCTAGGGAGCTCGCATTCCCACACGGGCACTAGAATGTGGTCGAAAGACTTCAAAGTAGTGAAATTCCAGGGCAATTAATTGTGCCCGGGACTGCCTGACATTCCAGGGCTTAAAATCCGCCATGGTCCGCGGAGAGCTGTCCCCATCGCCGCTTCCGGTTCCGGGGTCGAGATCAAACGACTGTTGGGGCTGGAAACAGAGGACGAGGTTCCGCCGACCGCCGAACTCCCATTCGCCAGAATAGGGTGCCCGGTGGTCTTAATTCCTGGCTTCTCGAGGAAAGAAGTCAACGCGTGCCACCGAAGTCGACGGGGGCGGACTTTCGGGGAGAAGTGCAATTAAGCCCTCTCTTCCGGCGAATCGATTAATCCTCGGCGTGCCTGTATACACTCTCATCTAAGTTTTAAATCGGCCGCCCTCTCCCGGCTCCCTTCGTCGAAGGGACCGCAAGCAGAATGGAGAAACGGACGAAGCGACCGGCGCGGGATTTATCGGGGAAATTTGCATCGACAACGGCCATTATCTGGGCGGAGGAACCCGGAACCGGGTGGTTCGTGCCGCGGTAACGAAATGCAGGGGTGCCCTCGTACCCCACGGTACGCCGGCGACGACGACGACGACGATGACCCGAAATCCTCCTTGAATTTACATCCCACTCGTCATTCTCCTAGAGGAACGGAAACGAAACAGGCGGATATTGTGCGAAGGGAAAGAAACGTCGGAGGACGTTAAATCGAATTAAGACTTAGGGATTCTTGTACTAATCGTGAATCTTAGGGTGCCGACGAACGAATTTAATCGACTTCCTTCTCATTTCGGAATGAAGATATACCTAAGTGTATAGAATTAACTAGAGCATAGAGAAGCAACAAACGGTTTAGGCAGGGCGCACCAGGTTTCAGTATCGTTTTAACCAAACAGTGGAAGCATTCGAGAATGCTTAAGTGAACTTCGTTCCTACTATCCTGACCCTCCCTTATTTGGGGCTCGGGGGCTCCCATAGGGCTGACCAAGGCAGCATGCAAGTCGATTTACGAGCAGTCTGGTCGCTTCCGCCGCACTCCGACACGTTCGAGCAAAATGTTGCACTCCCGATTTACGAGCGAGACGCCCACCGGTGGGAAACAACGAAACCGGAGTCTTGCCTTTTCCAGAGGGGCAGCTTCCGCCTACCGCCGTGGGCACCACGGCCACGGCAATATTGAAAAGTCAAGAAAAATAAAGAAACCGAGACGATACCCCGAGTTTAAACATGAATTCAATGAACTTCAAACAAAGAAATCAAACATCCCTGCGCATCATTGGGGGCTATCGATTCAACCCTTAAATCCCAGATCATGAGTGCCCAACCTTCTGGGTGTTGATTGAAGAGGAATTATCTTGGGCCTTATGTAGAACAATAATAAAGGCAATGTATATAAATAACGACAATTCTTCGAGAAATGTCGGTAAAAAACCAATAATGTTAGGATTTTACAATTTCGGGACTGTGAATTATTGGATGCTCGAATCTGCGCATTGGACATACCCGTCTTACATTGTCGAATTTAATCCGTGAAATCGGTGTTTTACGCCCAGAAAAACGATTTTCAAGCAAAGTAACCTCGCTCTGGATGTCGATTTAATGTTTCGGGTGGATATATAGGACGACTTGATCTAAATCCTGTCTAGGAGTCTTGTACCTCGCTGCAGGGGTCCTGGTATACTTGGGAACCCCGCGCAGCTCGCGGAGGAGATCGCGCGGCGAATGAGAAATCGGCTGACAAGATCGTTTCCGGATGAGAGTTAATTATCGGATCGAGTTCCACCTCATCGTGCGATTAATCCCTAATCACCCTCATCCGCGAAGTCCTCGATGCTCGAGTCCATCGCGCAAGTACCGGGCTCGAAGGAGTGACACCCTGGACTGGAAGTCGGATCGGAGGGGGACTTTGCCCCACTAGCGGAGGCATTCGGGAGCCACTCGTTCGCCATTTTGAACTCGAGCCGGGGTATTATGACGAGTCTCATTACCCGTCCCGCTTTTCCTCGAGTTCGAGGACATCAAAGAGACGCCACTGTTCTTGGCGCGGAGGCTGCACCCGCGTTTAATTTCGCGCCCAACCCTGGCCCAGAGATGTGCATTGCCGATTCGGTTGATGGGTACCCTCGAGCTCGTCGGTTATTAGTATCGCCGGGTACTTTTTCCTACGTGGACTTATGGTGAAGTGAAACCCGTCGAGAAACTTTACGGTAACGTCAACGTTATCATATTATGGCTAATTAAATAAATACATGTTTTTTCTTCAGCATCAAGACTTTCAAAGTGCCAGGATATTCGTTTGGTGCTCACTATTCATGTAATAAAATTTCAAACAGTTCGGTGGAATGCTTTACAGAAAAGTACCTTACATAAGTCGACTGGTTTGTTGCGGGTTTCACTTCGACTTAATAATTAGTTCAGAACCTGGTCAGCAATAATGACCGAGTGCTAGTACTGTCCAACCATAGACGTGACTAAACCATGAACTCTACTTAAGTTTGAGCTAAAAACTTTCATAACTGAAATCCACTGCTTCGAATTAGATTCAGTCGTCCTGGAGGAAACCGTTCCAAGTAGCCTTGACCTACTTGATACTCGAAAATACGAGACCCTTCGCAAATACTCATGGCAAGGACCAGAAATCCTGGAATCCACTCGACGGAAGAAGCTCTTGCGGAAATCGTAAAAATTCGCTCAGGATTTCTCCTTATTAAGTTTCCGACAGCCGCTGCACGTCTCTCTAAACCTTGCTCCCAATTTCGCCAGGCGGAACGAGAGGGAAAGAGAGTTTCGGCCAGTATAAAAAGTGAAAAGTCAGGGCTGGTGTCGATAATTCAAATTCGAGAACGTGATGAATGAGAAAATCTCCCTTTCTATCTCGCTCCTCTTTGACGTCCCGCCAATCCGCGCAGAAGCATTGTCGTCCTGGTGACAAGCGCTCGCAGTGGCTGCCGAAAAAAAGGACGAAACGAGGCGAACTCGTAGCCAACATGTACATTACGAACATGCACATACCGGTACAACATGGACGTCGCTGTCGCCGCGACGCTACGTCGACCGACATACAGTAGCCCAATTATATGGTGTCCCTAGGGACCTTTTAGACCCTGAAACATGCATGGTGGGACATTGTGTCGGGCTCTATTCGAAATCAATTATCGATGAGAGAATTTGTTTGACTTTGGCAAGTATAATAATTTCACTTGAACCATTAAGTTTCATCTATAAGTATAATTATATTGGTAAATTGAAACTGATACCCTTAGATTATCATAATGACCTCGTACATTAACCCTTTGCGGTCCGAGTTCCTGAAATCGCCTTGTAAATGTCGAGTCAGCTTCTCAAAGGTTTGTAAGTCCCTCTCAGTTAATAATCCCTTGGATGTAAATGACACCAAACTCCCGAATTTCCATCCCGAAACGATGTTTTCAAAGCTTTGGGATGCAACCTACAATCGCTCGAGGGAGTCAACTACTTTGAAGGTAAATAATTTGAAAATTGCTTGCCCAGAGAACGCTAATGGAATAAAGAACGGATCCGTGCTTGACACATACAATAAGTTCACACACGTACATTTGTTAAGTGAACGGTGTTGTCGAGACGCTGTGGAGGACAAAGTACAATGGCCCAATTATACGGTGTTCTCTTAGAGCGTTTTAGAATACCAGAAATTGCAACAGGTTGTGCGAAATTGGGCTGTTTTGAAAGTAGCCATTACGAAGAAAATTACTTAACGAGATTCGAAGTTGATTTCGCCAGGTAAGTTTACCGATAACTTAGTTACCTTCCACTTTCCAAGGTAATTGCAAGAAATGTTGATCCGGTTTACTTGAAATATTGATTCGCATTCGTGAGTATCTCTAGAAGAATTCCCCCTAAAACGTTACGTTTTACTTATACGGCTCGCCTAAGAAGAGCCCTACAAATCCGAATACGCTGTATTGGATCTTTACGGTTCAGCGAGAACTTTTATATTTGGACCACTGTGGAAGTTTTGCACGAGGAATATAGACTGTGAATTCGATACTCACCGGTCCGAATTGCTCGAAGTAGTTCTTGACGTCCTCCAGCGTCGTCGGCGCCGATAGGCCGCCGACGAATATCTTCTTTGTCCTCGTCACCATCTAAAATACAAAAGACAAATTGTTTACATTCAACGGTAGACGTGTCTGAAAATTGAGAGCCGAGGCAATTTTATATCGCCCGAAGGGGCAAGTACAAATAATCGGAAGAGGGAAAAAACAGAGGAAAAGAGAAGAACCGTCGATCGAGCCCTTGGATCAGCGTTAGTATCGTGACACGCGCCTTGATCGCGTTTTTCAAGGACTGGGGTGAGTTGGCGCCTGGGGTGATGAAGAGTACGGAAAACCTTGGGGTTGTGGAAGCATTGGGGCAGTTGGTTGAGGATGGGCGGTAAAGTCGGGCAATTTCAGTGATGGTTGGCTTAAACCTTTCTATCTCCTTGAGCTTGCACCGCGAGCCTCGAGGTCGCCTCCACGAGCTGATACCACGTTTGCAAAAGTCATCACAATTTATCGTCAAATAATGGAACAAAAGACGTCATTAAATTCCCGCTTCTCTTCCTCGGCCGGGAAATTTCAATTCCAATACATCGGAATTATTCGAGATAAAGTGGCCACATTCAATTTTCTCTGCCTTTAACGAACAAAATTACTGTACGGTGTAATTTGTACCCCCGCCGAATAAGATATCGTGTCTTCGGAAAAGTTTCGTCAAAGATTCAATTTAAATTTAAATGTCATATAGTTACCGTTGATAAAAGCATATTTTTTATTCAAGAGAACGTTGAGAGGATGCGGCGTTTGCGGAGATAAGTTGACTCCATTTCTAAAGGTCTCGTCGAAAGTGTACAATGAATCTATATTTAAACGCGGATTCGATCATCCGAAGGAATAACCACTTTTAAAGAACATCGCCTTGGATTTCCAAGCCCTTCAATTACGTTCGACTGAGCCTTTTCAAAACTGGTAGGAGCTACAAAATCTTCCACTTTCCACCCTTCGACCGATTTTTCCAGCCCCAGCGAGCACGGCGCTCTACTTTTTTCCCACAAAATCTATTGCACCCCACCCTTTGATCGATTTTGCCGACCCTACCGAGCACCGCGCTCTCCATCCCGAGGGTACATCCAAGTGGCGCTCGGAGCTCGAAATACGAAGGATCCTGGGGTTCCTCGGCACCCATTAATCGATTTCCCTGATTCCACCCTGTATTGCGTTTTTTCCTTCCTTCCCGACGGATTAGCTGGAAATGGCGCCGTAGAGTGAAGGACAGAGGACCTTGGAGTTACCGGGGCACTTCCGAGGGATGCTGGCAAACCCAAGCAATTCCGGTGATAGCTGAATTAGACCTCCCTATCCCGAGACATCCTTAAGACTTTCGGCACGAGCCTGAAGATCGCTCGATACAACGACCGAAGAGATTACGAATAATTGATTATCGTCTCACGGATGCGCCGCCACTAACGGGGTCTTGCCCCCACTCGTTAATGGACCTCTTCGAAGCCACCTTGCATAGGGAATTTTCTTTTCCCGGCAGGGGGATAGTCCGAAGTGGCGCTTGGAGGATCTTAGGGTTACCGGGGAGGGTGGCAAATTCGGGTAATTCCGGTGATGGCTGGCTTAGAGCTCTCTATCCAGGAATATATCCTTGGGCGGGCCGCATTCCTCGGGGCCACCCCCGCGAGCGCCGCTGCACCGTCGGGAGCTCATCCCGGGAACTGGCTAATCAGCGAAGTGTATAAAGTCCTGGGATAAAAATAAAATGGCGGGGGTCTCAAAATTAAATGAATGGCTCGGGTCGAGCTACCGATTTTGCTCGGGGCTCTGCGCCGCGAGATGGAGAAGCTCCCGGCGGACCGAGCCGGAGGGTCGGAAGTGGAGCTCGCCGGGGGCGTGGGGCGGGGTTGGGGTTGGGGTGGGCGTTGGGGGCTCTCCGGGCCCGGGGTGCGGGGCGCGGGGCATGGGGTAGGGGGCGGTAGAGAGCCGTAAGGAGGTTAGGTACTTATTCGAACGAAGCTGCAGCCTCGCCTCTCGTGCACCGTCGAGCGAAACCCTGAAGAGGGATTGAAGTTTCTTGATTTTCTCGCGGAGATTCGGCCGCGACGAGACGGCACTCTTCCTCTCTCTCTCTTTCCCCCTCTCTTTCTCTCCTACCCCTCTGAATTTCATTACTCCACCTAATGAGCGTATTGTCATTCAAACGACCGTCTTTAAACCCTTCCCGCGAATCGACGATCTTGGCCGAAGGTCTCGCTGACGGGCGCGGGTCTGCGATGACGAGGACCCGGAACACCCGGGACGTGGTCGAAATTCGGAACGCTCTTCGAGTGCGTCATTTCACCTTCCTTCTTTAATTTGGACGATGCTGCCGAATGTACCCCGTAAGATGCTTCGGGTTCGGTAGCGGCATTCGGCATGAGAAGAGGGATGATACTATAGGAATATTGAATGGACGTCTTTGATGTAGATTAGGTCAACCTAGGCACTCTCGGAATATTTGATGTTCGAACGCTTTAAATTTTAGATAAACTTTACCGATGAAGTAATGCACCGAGTTATGAGTTATGACGATTGTCATTCGTCGCGTGCATAATATAACGTACATACGTTAAAGAACACCCCGACGGAATGCAACCTATACGTGCACTTTAAAACATTTTTGTGGTTTGAATACACACGATGAACATTTGGAAAAAATTCGACGTCCGACACGTCTTGAAATCTAAGACATGGATGGTATGTGTAAATACAATATTATTTTTATACCTAAAACATGTATAAATGGTTCGATTCCGCGAAGAGAAGTATTTTGTCGAATCGATAAAATTTCTGCTGGTTCAACCATTGAATATGATTATTAAATGGACAACCTAATCCTTGTCCAGTTAGATTGCAATTTGGTAAATTTAACAAAAATATTTGGTTTACTGACTGAAGTAAAATCCAAAGTTGAGAAAACGATTTAATTCGACACTTTGGTTAATTTAAGCAAATGCGTTTAGTCAACCAAACGAAAATTCGGTTGATTCGGAGAAAAATTTCTCTGAAATTAACTGAATGCAGCCAATTAAATGATTTTATTCAATGAATGTAATTGTTATTCCGCGCGGAGGTGTGTTCAGAAATGTCGTAAATAGCCGAGGCCTGCGCCAATAAGAAAAAAACCCCGTCTGACCGAGCAAGGCGACCCACTCGTCAGAAAAGGACCCACCGGCCTCGTCTCGACCCGATTCCATCCCTTCCGACAAATCGTACGACCCGTTCGGGACGTAAGGGAGGATTTCGAGGATCCCTCGACTCCTCGGAGCTCGGATAAGTCCTCGGAGTCTCGATACAATTTAGATACCTCGCTCTGAATGTGGGGGATGCATCCATAGACCTGCCCTCGTGTCCGACCGAGCGAGGGATGCGAATTCATCCCCTGCAGTACCCACTAACCCTCTTTCGAACGAGATCCGCCGCTCTCATTTCGAGACGCGGCTCTGAAAGCTCTCGAGGGATGCGGCCCGAGGTCGCTCCGAGAGAGTCAACCATTCCGGGGGGTAAATATCCACTCGCGGCTTTGCTTCTCAACCGTCATTATTGTAATGCGTAGAATTCCACGAGGGCGCCCGGTTTAAATGAAAATTTCCTCCTTCCGTAACCGTAGATGGAAAATATGTATATACGAGACGAAATAATCGCCGCGCAGAATTCACCAGAGAACCGTTCTCCCAATGATTGGATCTCGAGGGGCTTCGTCGATCATAAAGTTCACGAATAGTTTCCGGAGTTGAGACGACGACAGATTTTTCCAAAAATGCGTATTCCACCTAGTCGCGTCTCCAATGATCGGACCAGAGTTTAATAGAACTCTTTTACCATTCATTGTAGATCGTAGAGCGGTGTGCTCGCGTCGGCGCGCGCTCGTTGCAATTCTACGTCTTCAAAGCGCTTCAGCCGTTCCGCATTAAAAGCATCCCCTGTGAAAAAGTGAATGACCAAAGCTCTCTCGCGAAACGTTGGGGGAAGTGTTTCAAAGTGTTCGAAATGCAGGGCCGTCCCGACGTTATGCGCCGGGACGAGGATTCCGGCTAACGGCCTCCAGAGAATTCCGCGCATCCGGAAAGCCGGGGGGCAGATTTGCCGAAGGAGCCTCGGGATGCCGGATGAAAGGTGGAGGGTGCGAAGAAGGTGGAAAAGTAAGTCGCAAACCAGAGGAGATAAGGGCGGATAGCAGTGTAACGGTAATGGAAACTCGAAAGAGAGTTCCACTTATTATGCCGCAGCATTATGTAAATACCGGAAGGCCATTACGATTTTACAACTTACTGGGAGTAGCTTTATAGTTTCGACGCCCCCAACCTGCGCCTCTCGCGAGATAACCAAGTCGGGAGAGACCTCGTCCTTCCGGCATCCGCCTCTGGACCAACGACGGTTTCTCGAGCTCCGTTACGAGGTGGCTGAATTTTTTAACTCGCCATCGTCTCACGTAACTGTCCCTTACGGTTAGCCAGTCGTTCGCTCCGAATTTCCTTTTCGGGCGGGAAATAAAGTGCTTCAACGTATCGGACATTTGCCGGGGAGGGAAGGCTATCTGCTAGATGCGCAGAATTTGAAAACGGCGCAGCTTTGTCAGTCGCAAATCTTGGTGGAGCACTCCGAGGCATGAGGTGGCTGAATTTTTTAACTCGCCATCATCTCACGTAACTGTCCCTTATGGTTAGGCAGTCGTTCGCTCCGAATTTCCTTTTCGATCGGGAAATAAAGTGCTTCAACGTATCGGACATTTGCCGAGCAGGGAAGGCTATCTGCTAGAGGGAACGCGTAGATCGGCAAGGACCTCCGAATGTGGAGTAGCAATGCGCAGAATTTGAAAACGGCGCAGCTTTGTCAGTCGCAAATCTTGGTGGAGCACTCCGAGGCATGAGCAGTCGTTCGCTCCGAATTTCCTTTTCGGTCGGGAAATAAAGTGCTTCAACGTATCGGACATTTGCCGAGCAGGGAAGGCTATCTGCTAGAGGGAACGCGTAGATCGGCAAGGACCTCCGAATGTGGAGTAGCAATGCGCAGAATTTGAAAACGGCGCAGCTTTGTCAGTCGCAAATCTTGGTGGAGCACTC